GCATGTTCAGCTGGAGGCCTGACCTAGAGACTCCAAAGATGCATTGCCTCTTACAACCTCAGGACCACCCTCAGGCTCCGAAAGGGGTCATGGGCTTTCTGGGGGAGGGGTTCGGGCTTTGGGGGCTAAGGTTTGGGATCTGACTACGAGGGTCCAGGAGCCTTCGGACCTAACCCGAAAACCCCAAAAGCCAGAAACCCTAATTGAACCCCTTAATCCTCTGAATCCTAAACCCTTGATCCCTGGTGCAACCATTATGGATCCCTAAAGAATCCTTTTGGAAAGGATCCCTTAAAGGACCCCTTATACCTTCAAACCCCTAAACCCTCAACTGGCCCTAAACCATCCTAAACCCTGAACTCTGAACCCAAACTCAGATTTCTGGGCTTCCAGCGCTACTCTTCGGGTCCAAGTTCACATTGTAGCGCGTGGGGGCGAGCCACCTAGGGTTCAGGGCTTAGGGTGGTGTTTAAGGTTTACGATTTAGGGAACAGGGTTTCGGGATTAAGGTCTTAAGGGTATCGGTGCGCATACTATCGGGGCCATATTACTTGGAATGAGGTTTTGAAGCGTCTGAACTGGGCTTCATAGGCGATGATCTAGGGTGTATCCCAATTGAATATAGGGGCCAGAATACTTGAAATTCTTGAAATAAGGATAAGAGATTGCTGCTACCAAGGGTTCACTGTACATGCAGATACCCTGAGGAATCATATAGCTGCCAATACGAGGGGACCTTAATAATTAGAATAGGGTCGTTAAACTTTAACTAGAAAAAGGAACCACCAAACTACTATAGGCAATTATTTAGGCCCCTATATCACGCCCTTAAGAACCCTTATAATATCCCTCAAAAGGAGCCCGTTAAAGGAACCTTATTTTCGAATTAGGCTTCTATGTTATGCATTGCTAGGTTCGCCCGGCTGGGGCCCAAGATCTGCATTCTGGGCTCGCGTTGTTGACATCAACTCAACGTCGTCGAACAATGCTTTACCCATAGGCTCCACGAATTAGGGTTTTGGGTTTAGGGTTTAGGGTTTTATATTGGTTTAGATTTAGGATCATTAACAAGATCTACTACTTTGGAGCCTATAGATAATAAGATCCTCTTAAGGTCTAATGCGGGTGTCGGTTTTGTAGTATAGGCTCCTTTAATGCGTCCCGGCCGGGGCTAATTCCGAATCCGAGTAAATTTTTTGGGGTACTAATTAATGCGTTTTTTTTGGCTGGGGGGATTTTGTGGTGGTGGGGCTGTGCTATTTGCTGATGGTCAATCTTAAGGCAGCCACGACCTAAACCCCCATCCAAACCCCCACCCAACCCTAAAACCCTGGCCCTGAACCGCCGAATTGGGGATTGGACCCTAGCTCAAACGAGGCCTCTCCAGTACTAAAGTTTGTATAAAAAAATTCAATTTTGGGTCCAATCTGGACCGACCCCCCTTTGGGAAGGGTTTAGGGCTTAGGGTTTAGGGTTGTTTAGGGTTTAGGAGTTTAGGGTTCGTTAGGGTTTAGGGTTTGTTAGGGTTTAGGGTTCAGGGTTTAGGGTTTAGGGTTTAGGGTTTCAGGCGCTGGCTTTATGCTTTGCTTATTGGGGGAATGTGCTCACTGGCTTTATGCTTTGCTTATTGGTATTATTTCTGTACTATTACTGTATTACTACTGTACTCCTGTACTACTGTTGTACTACCACTGTACTACTAGTGTACTACTGTACTACTATTGTACTACCACTGTACTATTACTGTACTACTATTGTACTACTGTACTACTATCGTATTACTACTGTACTACTATTGTACTACCACTGTACTACTGTTGTACTTACTACTTTGTACTACTGCACTACTAGTGTACTACTACTGTACTACTATTGTACTACGGTACTATAATCGTACTACTACTGTACTACTACTGTACTACTATTGTGCTACTATTGTACTACTGTACCATTATTGTACTACTATTGTACTACCACTGTACTACTGTTGTGCTACTATTGTACTACTGCACTATTATTGTACTACTACTGTACTACTATTGTATTACTGTACTATTATCGTACTACTACTGTACTACTACTGTACTACTATTGTGCTACTATTGTACTACTGGACTATTATTGTACTACTACTGTACTACTATTGTACTACCACTGTACTACTGTTGTATTACTATTGTACTACTGCACTATTATTGTATTACTATTGTACTACTACTGTATTATTTCTACTGTACTACTATTGTACTACTGTACTATTATTGTACTACTACTGTACTACTATTGTATTACTGTACTATTATCGTACTACTACTGTACTACTACTGTACTACTATTGTGCTACTATTGTACTACTGTACTATTGTTGTACTACTACTGTACTACTATTGTACTACCACTGTACTACTGTTGTATTACTGTTGTACTACTGCACTATTATTGTACTACCATTGTACTACTACTGTATTATTTCTACTGTACTACTATGTATTGTACTACTGTACTATTATTGCACCCCACAAAGCTTCAGACGTGGTCGATTGTGGGTGGGAGTGTGTGAGTGTAGGTTACGGAGGCAAAAGTGTTCAAAATGAAGGGTTTTTAGTCTTGGTAGTAGTCTTGGAGTGATCGGGGCTTGGTTTCCAGCATTTGGTGATCCCCAGACCCCCCCGACCCCCGACCGCGCATTCGCGCAGAACCGCAGACCCTGCACCCAAGCCAACCCCCCAAACCCCGGCACCTCCCAATTCCCTGCCACTCAGACCCCTGACCCCTGTCCGGTTCCACTTTAAATATATTTTTTTTTTTTGGTCGGGGGGGGGGGGGGTACCCTACTACTAAACCGACACCCACATTAATAGGGAAACTGGCTGGGTCTCCCGTAGCAAGCGATCGCAGCGCTGGTAACTAATGTAGAATGCTGATTAAATGCTCCCCTGGCTTTAATTTGAAGGCTCTGATACCTAATGGTAGGATGCCCGCTACAGTGCTGCATGAAGGAGAAGGGCTTCTATTCATTAGTGGTCGACATTCCCGGTGCATTGCCCTGCGAACCTAAGTCACGATCGGCTTAGTGTGTACCGTGAACTTTCTAATGTAGGGGCCTTCATAATTGGAATGGGGCTTGGGGGCCCATTATACCAGAGTTATAATGAGGACCCCGCAAAATAGTATAGGTAGGTACTTATTGAGGCCCCTGTGTTACACCCCTATAGTACCCTTATAGTCTCTCTCAGAGGAGCCCTTTAAAGAAACCTTATATTCTAATTGTTAGAGGAGCCCTTTATGTAAAGGAACCTTATATTCTAATTATGAAGGCCCCTATATTAAGGGTTTAGAGGTTGAGAATCCCCTTGTCATCTTAACCCCGAATCCTGAACCCAACGGTTCTCGTTGTTTTTAAGGGCTTTTTGAGGGCTTAGGTTTGGGGTTTTGAGGGTTTAGCATGTTTAGGCTTAGGGTCTAGAGAGTTTAGAGGGTTTAGGGGGTTCAGAAGGCTTCTGGAAATCCTCTTTCAAGCAGAGATGTGTCACTGAGGCTGAGCTCTTTCACACCCCGGACACGGTAAGTGCAGCTGTGGTGCTGGTCTTTCACTGCCTGCCCGGCAGCTGGTGACAGCTCAAGACTTAAAACGGGCATTGTTGTGTAGGGCCTTAAGTAGAACGATATCATACTAAAACTACAATCAGGAACCCTAAGAACGGTATATGTAACTATTGAGGCCCCTACACTACAGCTCGTTTGCTTTGCCTTCCGTTGCAACGATTCTGTTCTAGCCAGTGGACATGAGACAGTGACACTGTGTCAGTCCTTCGTGATTCACCTAGTTGACTGGACCCGATGGGACGAATTGGGGTCAAATTTAATTTTCCCAGCGAAATCTATCTGATGGGAAGAATGTTTCGCAAACACTACCTGGAATGCTTGCAGGATCAGGGGACTGAGGGTCCGGGGTTTAGAAGTCGGAGTTTGAGGCTCGGCTTGAAAGGGACCTGGTAAGCAAGGCTTTTAAGTGTCTAAATCGGAGCTTAGAGCTGATGATAACCTAGGAATTGCTAAGCTTTGCATCAGAGTAGCTGTAGATGACATAGGGGCCTTAAACATTCGTAACTAGGCTTTAGGGCTTGGGGTTTAGGGTTTAGCAGAACAGCTGTAAGTAACATTAACATAGGTGACTTAACCTTTAGTGTAGGGTGTTGAGAGCTTGCCCACTCAAATACAGGGGTGGCAGCTTCACGGGAGCACACGAAGCAGTCTTCCCCGCTGGCGAAGTACCGAAGTACCGATATGGTATTCACAGTTTACGGCTTAGAGCTTACCTGGACCCCAAAAGTATGTAGAATAATAGCCTTTTATGGGTCTTGGGCCATTAGTTTACCTACTTTTGGGGGTTTAGGTGGCGTATATACGCTGTTCAAATTCAAAAAAAATCAGGTTTGAATGGTCCTGCAGTGGACAGACAGCCCACCTGCTTGGAGCTCGGCAGAATGGCCTGGCATGCTTTAGGCTCGGGTTAGGGCTTACCTTGGCCGTAAAGAACCTACCTTTTCAGGGTTCCTTATTATGATTTCTTATACAGGTCCTGAAAAAGGTAGGTTATTCAGTCAGAGGGGTCCTTGCCCCTTTTGGGTAATAATGCCACCGTCAACCCATTAGATGATCATTCCTAGGGTCCCCCCTACATTTCACCGATATATCACTACTACTTCCCCCATTAGATGATCATTCCTATACTCCCCCCTACATTTCACCGGTATATCACTACTACTACCCCCATTAGATGATCATTCCTACACTCCCCCCTAAACTTCACCGATATATCACCACTACTACCCCATTATCAATACGATTCTAGGAATAACCATTACCTCATCTATTATTTCTAAGGTGGCATTATTACCCAAACTGGGCAAGGGGGTCCTTGTAGAATTTGGGTTTAGGTTCGGGGCTGGGGTGGAACACAGGCATCTAGCAGTTCCTTTCTGTCGCGTGAACTTCATTCAGTCGCTCCAGTTGCCCCATGAAACGTATTGTTTCGGGGAGATGACCTTCTCCTCCTTCCACTGCCCATCAGGTTTCTTCTCTGCGCCATACTCCTTTGCGATGGCTTCATTTGGTGCAACAATGACCCAGTTGATTGCGCAGACCCTCTTCAAGTCCGACGCAGCGAAGTATCTCTTGAACTTCTCATGCATTGACCCAAGCTTGAACTCATGCTTCTTGCCCTTTGTTGTTTGCAGGAGCCAAAGCACGAAACCATCATCTTGCTTCTGCACAAAGAAAAAATCGGCGGCCGGAAAAGACTTGCTCTCCAAAACATACAGCATGTTGGTCTCAAACTCTTTGGGTTTGTAGCCTTTGCTCAGCCTTTCTATCCGCTCGATGATTTGCTTGGCGGGCGGCACCTTCACAGTGCCAGATTCCCCCCCCGACGTCACAGATCTGAATTGCAGTGTCCGCGGGTCCGTCTTTGCTGTCAAACCCTCGAGCACGGTATCTTGGAACAGGTTGCCGACGAAACTGCCAAGCTCCTTGTATTCCAAGGACACGTTGATGAACTGCTGACGACCTTCCCTACCTCGCTTTTCAAGGGCCTTGCGAATTGCCAGATGGGCAACATCTGACTCAACAAGCATCACCTGCGCTTTGTTATACGGCTTTGCAGACGTGATCTGCAACAGAAGGCTCAGATGGCTTTGCTTGCCTTCTCCTTGTATGTTACGAGGCTGTCGCGAGACAGCTTTCAGCAAATCCTCGTAATTGCAATTTTCGAGGCACTCTGCTAGCAATCGATGCGCTGCTTCAGAAAGGGTGCCACCCTCTTTCAACACTTGCATCAACCATCGCACACTTCCGCCGAGCAGGTCGTATGCCTCTTCAACAATCTTTGCTGTCTCCTCCGCCTCCTTGTCAAGAACATGCTGGAAAAGAGCAGCTTTGTGCTGCAACACCTCAGGTTTGGACCAAGTAGGCATATACAAGACTGTAGGCCTGCAGGTTTCCTGCTTGAATGCCACTTTGTAGCTTCCACCATGCGGCGAAGTGAAGACGATGCTGCATCCCCTCGGCCGAGCGTCGAGCTCGACCTTCCCGCCAGCAAGTGTGTCGAACAGCAGCAGGGTTGTCTCCTGTCCTAGCAATGCACCGGGCTTGACTTCGCCATGAGCCCGCGCCTTGCCACCAATGTGAGACCACCACTCATTGCCACGTTGAATGACAATGTCGTAGCCCTCCGCAATCAAGATTACCGCCATGTATGCTAGGAAAATCGACTTTCCAATTCCGGGCGTGCCGGTGACAATCAGTAAGCCTCCAATGGTCGGACGTTTTGCTCCGTCTTTCAACGCTGGGTTGAAAAGGCCATTCAACCAAGCTACTATTTGTCCCTGCATGAGTGTATAACATTCGCGAATCACCATGCTGTGATTCATGTTCTGGAGGCCCAGAATGTCCTGCTTGAAGATCTTCACCTCATCAATCTTCCACTCTTTCGGCTTCATGTCCGCAGCTTCTTTCAGCCACAGGCAAAGTGGGTCGAGTTCGGCACTCTCAACCTCCGCTGCACCGAACAACGCAACCTTATAGACCCAAAACTACATCCAGATCAAAAGCTACATGAATAAACAACTAGCCCCCAAAAAACACCCAACCCCTAAGCCCGACTAAGCAACCCAATCAACTGACCCAATCGGGAAGCCCGACGAGGAAACCAAACCTAGGGGGAATAAACCACTAAGCTACAACCAAAGGGCCAACCCCTAAACCCAATAAGTAAGGTAGATTACTGAGCCTATCGGGGAAGCACTTGGGGACGTGAGCCAAAAACAGGATGTCATTGACTGACCAAGGGTCGGGCGCGCCCTGCAGCTCTTGGCGAATGTGGTGTTTCACATGCAGGGCCACAATCTCTCGTGTCGTAACATCTTTGATAGCTTCTGGAAGAATGCTAACCACATCTCGGAGCTCGGAATCGCCCAGTTGGTGAGCAGGAAATTGGGAAAATTTACTTGCCAAAGCACGCTTTGAACTGTCATCCATTTCCACATCTGGCATCTCCTCGAGAATGTTCTGATAAAACTCCGGGGGAAGCTTCCGCTTCTTTGATGTAGTGTCTGCCATTGCACAATCAGGACACCACACCAACAGAAATATGACAGCGCTTGCTACTCATGTCGATAGTGCGCTTAGCGGAAAGGTGATGCATGACTCTTTGTGACCTTACGCGCCTTGAATGCTCTACGAACTTGCTGCATGGGAAATGTCGATATTTGAGCTCGTCGCAAGTTGCACCACAAAACAAGTCAAGTTGTGAAAAAACCCCACAACTTCAAGACTACTGTCAAAAGCTACACTTTTAACAGCTCAAACCGCAAATACGCCCTATCATTCCCTGATACATAATAATATTTTTGGCCCAGCTTTTCATCAATTTTTTCTATGGTATAAACATTTTGGCTGAAATTGCCCACTCTCTCTTTTTCATTGGGTTTCCTCTTCCTGAATATTTTAACTTCATCACCAACACTTAATTCAGGATAGACCCGATTTCGTTTAGCATTCATATTTAATTCCAGTTTAACTTTTAATTAGTTGCTCGGTTTTCTGGCATCCTTTGGGGTGAAACCAGTAGCGGAATGTTTCATTTTATTGTTGTATGTTAATAATATTTCAAAAATATAATCAGTCCATTGGATATTGTCTTTACCCTTTTTCTGATCCGCTTCAACACGCCGATATAATAAATCTTTGAACGTCCTAATGGCCCTTGCGCTGAAATTTGCGTGTGCCCTAGTTCTATAGTGTTCTATGTTCTGTTCCTGTAAATACTTTTGTATTGCCTCCTTCTTTATTGCTCCCTCGTCGTCGGTATAAATTAGTTTGGGCTTCTTCCCCATTTTATGTAAGCACTCAATCATCCCACTCGCTAAATCTTCTTCCTTCTTACCTTTAATTGCCACGACATGCATAAACTTATCAAATATATCAATCATTAACATTCCTACTCTAAATTTTTGATCCTTCAAGTCGTTGATGAAAAACAAATCCATCTGATACTCATATGCTGAATGCGGGGCGACAAAGCTGTTTGAACCGACGGGCTTTCGCTTTTGATCAACATTCTTCCTAAAAAACTCGTTAATATCAGACATCGTGATGGTTTTATCTTTCTCCCGCGCTTCTTCTAAAGTCCGTTTTTTTGAGCCAAACCCCGCGCGATCAAAATACACATCATTAATAATTTTTTGTTTCTCACTCATATAAAAACAAAAGAAAATAATGATTTAATAATTAAATTAAATCATCATTCGCCATCCATCGGCTTTATGATCTTGAACTTGCTCATATCATATTTGGGTGTGCCGCGCTTTGTTTTAAAGGGTTTTTTTGCATTCATTATTTCAGATAGCAGTTCTTCTGTCATCTCATCGGGGTTCAGTTTGATATTGTTAGCTTCTTCGTACTCCTTGATCTTCTTTCTCTGATTGTGTCGTAGTGCAGATTCTCGTTTCTTTTGCATATATTTTTCATCATTTCTGCGCTTGTTGTAGTACAATCTGCTGTATATGGCGAGTTGCTCTTTGATTTCATCCATTGTCATATCCTCGGGATTTTTACTCATATTATACTATACTATATATTATTTTTTTATCTTTAGACATATTTCTATATATTAAAAAAACATTTAGTATTTTAAAAAATCCTTGGAAAAATTATACTTAAAAATAAAATAAATATATAGTTTAATTATATTAGTATATGTCCAAAGCCATTAAGCGTAATACGGAAGCACTACAAACATTTTATAACAACAGAAGAAACCGCATCAGCCAAGCCACCAGAACAAAAGTTCAAAACATAATTAACTTATATTCAGATCGTAAGATCGCCCAATTCACCACAGCAGACAATTTAATTAGGAAACTCACCACCGCAAAAACAGACAAAGAAAAAACTAAAGCGGAAAAAGAATATAATAAACTCTACGACAAGCACAAGGATAAAGAACAACTAGGTCAGAGAATGGCACAAGCAAAAGAAGACAACAAACGAACGGGAAGAACCAACGCGAGAAAGCCAAAAAAATATTCAATCAATGTTCATTTATATAGGCTTAAGACAGAAGCAGACAAAGGTGTATTAAAAACGTCTTTTAGAGACAGTAGGGGTAGGGAATATGTCCCAGTATACATGAACCCTTTAACTGCTAATGTGCATACAACACCGTGGGTAGAAAAATTAGCGGGGAGACGCATATTCAAATATGAGAAAGCCGATTCTAAGACGTTCTATAGGCTCAAGTTGTTGTTATTGACAGATGACAGTTTTAGAGCCGAAGTTGGTTACGCAGAAGGTTACATTGACTGTATTAAAGTTAATTATGCCGAAAGGGTAGATAACGCCGATGCTTTCAAGCCACAAGACGAAGAACTAACAAACACAGAGAATGTCAGTATGTATCACAGATATATTCAGACACCCTTAGATCCACAGCATGAGACCTTTAAGGAAGCCATTAAAGTAGATCATTATGTTAAGAACGAGTGTTGGTTTAACACCTTGACGGATTATTATAAGGATACCCTTATGGGAGACAAGAAGAGAGAGAAGAACAAACTCACAAAAGAAGCCATCCTAAAAATCATAAATAAGACGGAAGAAGATTTTAAAACAAAAGGGGCGTCAATAACAGATATGGCGAAGGTGTTTGAACATTTTAACTTGCAAGTGAGAATATATGATACGTTTGAGAATCTAATTTATAAACGCGACCCAATAAAGAGAAACCATCACATCCCAGCCTTATACGCTATAGTGAAGAACAGTCACATCTACACAGTCAGTGATAATATGAATATGTTGAGGCAGATGATACCCAAAAACAGTAATTATAGTATATCTGTTAAGGCATCTTCAGATTATCACCTTAACGAGAAGGAAGAACCAGTGGAATGTAAAATGATCACATGTCTAGACGACATCAGGAAGTATACCGAGCACAGCGAATACACATTGGTATATAATGGCTACGATCTGTCTCATCTCTTTTATCTAAGCAAACAGGCAGGGTATGAGCCACAGGTTAGGTTTAGCGCGGGATGTGTGTCTGAACTTAACTTCAAGTTTAAGATCAAGATAAACAACAAGAGCCACAAAGAGATTAAATACAAGATTAAGACCCAGAACTTAGTAAATAATTCTATTGATGGTTCCATCTGCGTGAGAACGGAGCAGATCTACAACAAGATGTCTAAAGCGATGTTTAATTTTAACACCGCCCTCTTCAAGGCTACCCACAAGTCATATTACAACGAGATTGACGTTGAAATTTTTAAGGAGTGTCGCACCATCCCCCCAACGGGTGAAATAAATAAACATTATTATTTATATAACCCTAAGACAGACAAAGACGACAAATACTGTTATACCACAGAAGTGACTACGGAGATAGATGTAAGAAAAGCTTACACATCTGCGTTTAACAAGATCGCCGAGATACCGGTATTCACTCAGTTTGATATATGGAAGCCCTTCAGTGGCACAGTGACAGATTTTCACGATCTCACTCTCTACTTGGTCAAGCCCACCAAGCGGAGTTTATTTTTCAATAAAGCCTACACTTTAGTATATGGTATGTTTTTAAAGCACTTCGTGAAGCAATGTAAGATACTTTATTATAAGCAACCATCCAGAGTATACAAGGTGGATTATAGGAAGATCACAGCGGAATTATGGAAGACAGACATCTCTGACAAACCAGCCGAAGACATCAGAATCAAAAAATTAATAGCTAATGTTAACTTCGGGCTACTTGAGAAGAACACGAATAAAGCCCATAAAAGTTATGCCTTTGATACTCTAAAGGAAGCCTTATATTATCAACACAAGATCGGAGGAAAGATTAACAGAATCTCGGGTATGTATGTTGATGAGATTGAGTTACCTAACGGCGAGACAGACTTCGTAGAAAAGGAGATGGACAGAAAATATTATTGCTTAATAGTGACCGATAAAGCCACCCTACGAAACGGATATATATACATCAAAGAATTATTATTACAACACCATAACTTTAAAATGCACACCGACTACACCAAGCTAACAGAAAACCATATAGGAGTATGGAGTGTTAAAACAGATGCCTTCGTAATCCGGAAGGAGCATTTAAGACGAGCTAAGAACCTAATAGAGTTTTCAGATCGTATCGGCGGGTGGAGACACGAGAAGAGTAAGAACATAGCGGAACCGACAGAGCAATGGGCACCAAAAAAGAACGAACTGATACCAATTCCCGTAGTTAGCAATGAGACCCGACCCATAGAAAACGAGTGGGACACGGAAAGCATAGCAAAAGATATCGTAACAAATAATCCTATGATGATCCGATCTAAGTATGCAGGTGGTGGCAAGTCGCATACAGCAAAGCATCTCAGCAAGTTAGGCTATAAAACTCTCTTCGTAGTGCCACAGAACAGCTTATCTCAAAATATTGACGACGACGCGGTGACTACCAACAAGTTTTTCGCCATACCCGTTGGCGATGGGGAGAAGCTCCCCCAGTTTGACCATAGCAGTTATAATTGTATAGTCTTTGACGAGATCTATATGAATGGCACACACATATTAAATAGAATCAGAGAATTCGCGAAGCAATTCAGCACAGCTGAATTCGTTAAGAAAAACCCGAATAAAATCATAATCGGAGCGGGTGATGTCAAACAGCTACCGCCGATTGAAGACCTAACTAATACGAGGAAGCCGGATGAATACGCAGATGAATGTATTGATCAGATCTTCAAATATAATGTTATGCTTACCATATGTAAGAGATTAGGACCACAAGGAGATCCAACAGCAGAAGCCAACAGAAAAATATTAGATATGATGTGTGATGACATGTGGCTTCATAAGTTATCTTTATCCGAGTTTGTTCATAATTATTTTAATACAACCGGTGATATGACAGCATCTCAGAAGAACATAGCCTATACCAATATGAGGTGCTTAACGGTGTCTAATGCAATCCGAAAGAGTTTAGGTAAAACGGATAAATATGAAGTGGATGAGATCTTAATCTGCCGATTATACAAGAAAACGAATAATGTCAAGTTCAATGTTAA